ATCAACAAATACAGTGACAAGATCACAGTACGGTGCCAATCAACAAATACGGTGCCAAGATCAACAAATACAGTGCCAAGATCAACAAATACAGTGCCAAGATCAACAAATACAGTGCCAAGATCAACAAATACCCGGTGCCAAGATCAAGCAAATGCAGTTGCCAGAATCAGCAAATGGGGTGCCAAGATCGGCAAATACGGTGACAAGATCAACAAACGGTGACAAGATCAACAAATGCGATTGCCAAGATCAGCAAATACCGGTGACCGAGATCAACAAATACCCAGTGCCAAAGATCATGGAAATACGGTGCCAGATCAGCAAATACGGTGACAAGATCAGCAAATGCGGTGACAAGATCAACTAACACAGTGCGCCGAATCAACAAATACAGTGCCAAGATCCAGCTAACACAGTGCCAAGATCAACAAACAGTACAACAAATACAGTGCCAAGATCAACAAATACAGTGCCAAGATCAACAAATACAGTGCCAAGATCAACAAATACAGTACCAAGATCAACAAATACAGTGCCAAGATCAACAAATACAGTGCCAAGATCAGCAAGTACAGTGCCAAGATCAACAAATACAGTGCCAAGATCAACAAGTACAGTGCCAAGATCAACAAATACAGTGCCAAGATCAACAAATACAGTGCCAAGATCAACAAATACAGTGCCAAGATCAACAAATACAGTGCCAAGATCAACAAATACAGTGCCAAGATCAACAAATACAGTGCCAAGATCAACAAATACAGTGCCAAGATCAACAAATAGTGCCAAAACCACAACCACGATTAGAAAAAAGAAAACCCTCAGGTCATGTAGGCTAATGCAACACTCTCACGCCCCTTCGTGTTTACCTGACGAAGACGCTGCTGGGGGAGAAACAGAATCTCCTCACCACATGCTCTGATAATTCCGTGTGACATATATTGTTGTGTTCGTACAGCATCTGTCACCTCATGTAAGTTAATCGCACATTGTTAAGCACTTGGCAGACTGGAAGCACTTTTATGCTTTCAGGTAATATTCTGGTGAGTGTGTTAGGGGGGGGGAGGGGAGGGTGGATTTAATGTTTTATTTATGTTTCTGCAGCGAATTTGGTTAGTCTTGATGATGGTAACACAGAGGTGAAGGTTCACCTGCTCTTGTGAAACATACACCTGGTTGACGGTAATTAGAGGGAAGGTTCACCTGCTCTTGTGAAACATACACCTGGTTGACGGTAATTAGAGGGAAGGTTCACCTCCGCTTGTGAAACATATACCTGGTTGACGGTAATTAGAGGGAAGGTTCACCTGCTCTTGTGAAACATACACCTGGTTGACGGTAATTAGAGGGAAGGTTCACCTGCTTTTGTGAAACATACACCTGGTTGACGATAATTAGAGGAAAGGTTCACCTGCTCTTGTGACACCTACACCTGGTTAGTCCCATTCCACCGTCCCACACCACCACCACCACCACCACCATCACCACCACCGCTGCGGTCTACTGTAAAGCTTTCACTCCCATCACTCCCATCACTCCCTAGGGTCTATTCCCATTCCTCTTGATTACACTATAAGTCACCACCCTCTTCCTCCTATCACCACAGCTCCTCCCGTCAACGCCTCCCGCTTTACTTCACGTTAATTGTTGGAGAAAAGTCAGAGAGTAGAAGGACAAGAGCTCTGCCCAGGTAAACTTTAAGCCACGGCCACAATACCACCTCCACACACGCCCCCCAGACACGCCCCCCTCCCCCAGACACGGCTCCCCAGACACGCCCGGCCCCAGACACACCCTGACCCCCCCAGACACACCCGGCCCCCCAGACACACCCAGCCACCAGACACACCGCCCACCCAGACACGCCCCCAGACCGCCTGGCCCCCCAGACACACCCAGCCCCCAGACACGCCCCCTCCCCAGACACACCTGGCCCCCAGACACACCCGGCCCCCCAGACACACCCGGCCCCCCAGACACACCCCCAGCTGCCCCCCAGACACGTCCCCAGCTAAACGCCTACTCCCTCTCAAATATGTCTCTAACAACAGTGTGTTTCGTGGTGGGTCGAGCAGGTACCCTAAGAGGCCTCAGTGTAGGTCTAACTGATGAATAACGAAGATCTACCCTCCCAGACGCCAGACGGTCGTTCGTCAGGTAATAATTAACGTTCGCCAGTCGTTCTTGTGTTTCACGGCGGACTGGTAGTGAGATGGTGTTCAGTACTTCCTGGGAGATACATAATTATTATTGATGTTCTCTCCACGACGCGAATGACACTGTGGCGAAGATCTGTCTGGTGTGGTAAATCTCTCTCTCTCTCTCTCTGTCTCTCTCTCTCTCTCTCTCTCTCTCTCTCTCTGTATTGTTAAACACTCAATAAAGATACATTACTCAGTTCACTAATTGACAAAAAATCCTGGATAGTTTTGGTTGCACTCCTTCAGAAAGATGACTCTGTAAACTGGCGGAAACTCGAGTGAGATTTCCAAACCACCAATAACAGTGGGCTTTTATGGCTAAGGTTAATTTCATTGGTTACCTACGTCAATCCTGAACACTAAAGAAACGGGTTTTATGGTGATAGCTCAAATTAAGTTGTGTACGTACCAGTAGCCAATCACAATACATCGTTTTAACAAAAGTGTATTCTATTGGTTACAAAATCAACACTGAATACTAAAAATACCATGTTTACTTTAATGGTGAAAATATCGTTGAATATAATATTATTAATAGTTATTTTTATTATTTGTTTTATTATTATTATAGTGGTAGGATTTAAACAGTGATATTTTGTACATTTAACCTCTCTCACGCACACACGCACACACACACACACACACACACACACACACACACGCACACACACACACACACACACACACACACACACACACACACACACACACACACACACACACACACACACACACACACACACACACACACACACACACACACACACACACACACACACACACACACACACACACACACACACACACACACACACACACACACACACACACACACACACACACACACACACACACACACACACACACACACACACACACACACACACACACACACACACACACACACACACACACACACACACACACACACACACACACACACACACACACACACACACACACACACACACACACACACACACACACACACACACACACACACACAGTAGATATTATAATTAGGCTGAGTTAGGGTTGTGTTAAGGTTGTGTTATTGTTACGTTAAGGTCATGTTATTGTTACGTTAAGGACAGACTCAGAGTGTATGTTTAAAGTTATCTTCACTGGAATGTTGCCTCATGGGGTCGTGTCGTGTCTGTTACTTGGTGTTGGTAGAGACAAGCTGACGATGAGGCCTGACACTCGCCCTAACCTACGGCAAAAGACCTATTTCAACCATTGCTGTCCCTAAACCTGGTCACGTAAGATAATAATAAGAGTGAGAGGGTGGAGGCAAAGGATAGAGGAGGAGAAGGAAGAGAGAAAGTAGGAGAAATGTAGAGGCGGAGGAGGAGGAAGATGGAAGAGGAGCATTACCCTGACGTTCTCGCTCTTCTTGAACCCACGTCATCTCGTAACCAGACCTCCCCCAGCATCACACGCCATAAAAATCCCGCAGTGTCTCGAGGCGGTGAAAGGGGTGAAACAAACAGTTCCTTAACGCTCAAACTTCCTCTGGTATCACGAACAGATGTCAATCTTGGCTTTATACAGTGAGTGGTAGTTGAGATGGATCACACGAACCCTCTTAGTTTACTCAACACACTCACCAGACGCACTCAACCATCACTAACACCTTACTCACACCCTGGCCACTGTGTCACACCTCAACACTAACTAAAGAGACAACCTAACTAATGAATTTCTCTTTCTCATTTCTTCACAGATTCTACAAAACACAAGAAACTAAATGAAAAGACCAAACACTCATCAACATATTTTGGGGGTTACATAAGACTAGAAGGTTCTATTGTTAACTTTTATACTTCCGAAAATTAGTAAAAAGTTTGTTCCCTGTATTAAGTTTTCACGTTTTTTTTGTGGAAGTATGAAACAAAAATATTCCTAAGTGCCACCACCTCCTCCTTCGTTAACTTGCTCAACCTGAAGCGACTCACGATCTCAGGTACTTGGTACAATAATAGAAATAATGACTCAAATACTTTCCTTATACACATAGGATTGAAAACTAGTATATCCATTAAATTTATTATATTAATGAATGTGATGATGATCTTCAGACCAAACTCCTACCAGAAATGAAATTCAACACGAGAGAATTTTTACCTTTTGCTTCACCTTTTGAGGGTAAATTTGACGACCTCTCTCTCCTCTCTAAGAATATCAGTATCTCCCATCCTCCTCCAAGTAACACCATCATCCTCCAAGTAACACCATCCTACCCCAAGTAACACCATCCTCCTCCAAGTAACACCATCCTCCTCCAAGCAACACTATCTTCCTCCAAGTAACACCATCCTACCCCAAGTAACACCATCCTCCTCCAAGTAACACCATCCTACCCCAAGTAACACCATCATCCTCCAAGCAACACCATCCTACCCCAAGTAACACCATCCTACCCCAAGTAACACCATCCTCCTCCAAGTAACACCATCATCCTCCAAGTAACACCATCCTACCCCAAGTAACACCATCTTCCTCCAAGCAACACCATCTTCCTCCAAGCAACACCATCTTCCTCCAAGCAACACCATCTTCCTCCAAGTAACACCATCATCCTCCAAGTAACACCATCCTACCCCAAGTAACACCATCATCCTCCAAATGTATAATCTTCTTCACTCTTCCTTCCATCAGTGTGTTACCATAGACAGGACGGGATGTTAGGGACCCCACGCCACCAAGACGTTGCTTCCTTCGCCTTCCTTCACCTTCCTTCACCTTCCTTCACCTTCCTTCGCCAACTAACTGTTATGTGTTTCCCCCCAACAGGAGCGGCTGGGTGAGAAGGTGCCAAGCGGTGTGACTCCCTCGGATGGCTGTTCCAAATCAACACCGTGACTTCGATCAAACAATACTGCTCATCTAGTCTTTCTCTCTCACGGCTGTTTGATACCTGAAGACGGAGAAGAAGGTGAAGAGAGGAGAAGAGAAGAGAGGAGAAGAGAAGAGAAGAGAAGAGAAGAGACAGTGCAAAATATTTATCTTTATTAAATGGTTATCGAAAGTGAAAAACAAAATTAACATGTGGGATGTCCAAAAATATTACTTGAACAAAGACGAAAATATAAGATAACAATGTCGAGAACAATGAACATCACCCTTATGAACTCTCTGAGACTGAACACATGACAAACGTTCACTAAAATATGTAATAGTTATTTGAATTACATAACAATATATAACAGCAGAACAAATGGTGAGGGAGAGGAAATTACACCTCCACCCTCTCAAGATGGTGATAGTGGTGGAGATAGTGTGGTTGTTGGTGATGGTGGTGGTAGTGACGTGTAGGACGGAGATTGTGAGTGAGATAACAGGAGCACCAACAACACCATTAACAGGAAAGATAGTGACCTCAATCACCAGGCATTACCAGGGGGACGTCTACTCACTAACAGGTAAGTCTCTCTCTCTCTCTCTCTCTCTCTCTTACCGTAACACAAATCTTTCTCACTGTAAGAACTTTCGTGAAATCTTCCGTGATGACGTAATCTTGTGTTTACAACGAGTCTTTAACTCCACTGAGAACGACACTGAGAACGACACTGAGAACGACACTGAGAACGACACTGAGAACGATACTGAGAACGCCACTGAGAACTCTACTGAGGATTTAACTTATTAGGGAATGTTCCGACTCCCACTGCACTCGAGGAAGGTGTCAGGTCACTCTACTGTAAGTTGTTACCTTTTGACCACCAAACTATATAAGGGTTGTCATAGCGAGTGTGTTTATATGATAAATGTGAAGGTCGCAGCTCAGCTCAGTCAGTCAGTCAGTCAGTAAGATAGTTAAATATATGTTCTTATTTAGTTAGTTAGCGTGTTAGATACTTATTTACAACAGACAACATTCAGTAACAGAACTCCATGACAACATTCCATGTAGTGACTCAGTACAGCGTGACAGTCTCCGGTATCATCAGTGCATTACAGTACTGCATGGCATCATCATCTGCCAACAGTGCATGACAGTGAAGAAGATGTATGGCATTATCACCTGACAAAATACAGTGACAACAGAGCGTGACACTATCGCGTGACCACATTCCATGACAACAAGGCGTGTAAATATTGCATGACAACGGAGCATAACAATATCATATGGTAAAACCTCGTGCAGTATCGTATGACAGTGATACGTGACAGTGATGATTGACAATTGAATGTTAGGTTATGTTATCACGAATACCAGCAAAACTCAAATCAATAATGTGGATTTAGTGCATGTGTAGAGAGAAAGAGAGAGAGAGAGAGAGAGAGAGAGAGAGAGAGAGGGGGGGGCAGACAATCCGACTGACAGACTGGCCAAGCAAAATAACAGTCACAAGAAACAGGCAGACAGGTGGGTGCTGCGTCACCTCTCGGGTTATGGGATTTATGAAGAAAATTATGAGGTTTGTATGTGAAATGACGGACCCGAGACTAAATAGCTCTATTGTTCTGGGAGACCTAACCTAACCACGGTAATTGTTGCTTCGTAAAGACCCTAATATAAACTACGACTCATAACACTGTGGGTAGTTAAGCCTAGTACACACATTAGGAGTCTTATCTTCCCTTATATGAGTCCCAAAAAACACCGACTAAATGTTTTTTTTCTGTGACGTAATCCCCACACACACACACACAAGAAGCCCTAAAACGCTGAAAATAATCTTCTTTAAAAAAATCTGGGCCAGCGGTGAGGAAGGACCAAGGTTAGGTTAGGTTAGGTTAGGTTAGATTAGGTTAGTGATTCTTCCATATCGTGAGAGAATATGATAAAGGTCGTAACATAAACAAGACATAAACAAAATCGCATCTAGAAACAGGTGAACCGCGACACACACACACACACACACACACACACACACACACTTGGCTTCTCAGTATTGCATTTGGTTGACGTATCAAATTGTCTTACCATATTACTGAAGAAAAAACTAACACAATTAAAATCCAGTCCTCTGAGTTTACGTTGGTATCAGGTGGAGGTGAAACAGGTGTACCCACTGGACGACTTATACACTGTGGTCATCTCCTACAGGTAACACGGCTTGATAACCTTGCTCAAGATGTGTTTTTCTTGACAGTGTGTTTGGAGTTTGCGGTGATGATGGCTGTTGCGGTGTGTGTGTGTGTGTGTGTGTGTGTGTGTGTGTGTGTGTGTGTGTGTCGCAGGTGGAGACAGATGGGTCAATATGGTGACTCCGGCCGTCGACCTCACCAGGTGACCATCACACTACCTGCATGTAAACTACTCAAACGTCTACAACAACCAGTGTATCACTCATTATCACTAAGTCGTAATAGTGTTTCGTCAAGGAGGTGGAGAAGGTGGAGGACGAGGTGGAGTGAGAAGGATGATGAGGAGGAGGATGACGAGGGTAACAAGGAAGACAGGAGGAGGAGGAGGGAGGAGGAGGAGGAGGAGGAGGAGGAGGGTAACAAGGAAGACAGGAGGAGGAGGAGGAGGGAGGAGGAGGGAGGAGGAGGAGGAGGAGGAAGACAGGAGGAGGAGGAGGAGGAGGAGGAGGAGGAGGAGGAGGAGGAGGGAAGACAGGAGGAGGAGGAGGAGGAGGAGGGTAACAAGGAAGACAGGAGGAGGAGGAGGAGGAGGAGGAGGAGGAGGAGGAGGAGGAGGCTGAGGGAAGACAGGAGGAGGAGGAGGATGGAGAGGAAGATGGAGATGAGGTTGAGAAAACTACTCCAGCGCGTTACATCTCATGACTAAGGGGCGCCATATGGACTTTCAACCTACATAATCCCTCTTTAAACAGTCTCTCTCTCTCTCTCTCTCTCTCTCTCTCTCTCTCCCTTCCCTACTCTCCTTCACTTCCCTCCTCCCTTCTCTCCTCCTCCCTCTCTCTCTCTCAACCTCCCCCCATCAAGTCAGGGGAGGGAGAGCAACATATGTCCAAGTGTGTGTGTGTCTGTATATGTGTGTCTGTATGTGTGTGTCTGTATGTTATAACTCTCACAGGTGTACATGTTCTTACCTGGACTCTTCTTTATCTAATTACCTGGTTAAAACTAATTAATTACCTGCGTGTCATTTATATTTATTTTTACAATTATTTATTCGGACAAACTGCTAATTAATTTATTCCACCTGTTGATTAAATATTCTAACGCTTATTCTAATAAGCTTCTACCAACAGGTTGGGGTGAAGGTAATGTGTTAGGTAAATGAAAAACAGGTGCTAGGGATGTTAAGCTTCAGGTGCTAGGGATGTTAAGCTTCAGGTGCTGGGGTGTTAAGCTTCAGGTGCTGAGGTGTTAAGCTTCAGGTGCTAGGGATGTTAAGCTTCAGGTGCTAGGGATGTTAAGCTTCAGGTGCTGAGGTGTTAAGCTTCAGGTGCTGGGGGTGTTAAGCTTGAGGTGCTGGGGTGTTAAGCTTCAGGTAATCTATATATCATTGTTATATTTTACTATCATTAATGTTTCTTGTTATCTGTCTGTTCATCATGGTGTTCACTTTCCCCTACACAAGATTCATTTATTTAACCGGGAAATTTCTCTCGGGGTCTCATTGAGGTAAATGGTTCGCGGTTTGATATAAAATTCTAGAAATGCGAATTGGATCATCTACTGAGCTGAGTAATGCTGTGAACGTGTTGCGGGTGTTAGGGAGGGAAAATTTAGAAATATCTCGTCAGAATGAAAGTTTGAAAAAAATAAGTTTGGTCAAAAGAAAGTTATAGGAATATCTAGCCAGAATGAAAGTTTTAAAGCCTGGCGAAATTAAAGTTTTTGAGAAATCTGGCCAAAAGAAAAGTCTAAGAAACCTCAGGCCAGAAGGAAAGTTTTTATTAGAAAGTTTAGCCATGACCATCACGTCTCTCCTCGAAGTGATGTGTAAATCCATTGAGTAATTATTTATCTTCGGTGAGTGTTGCGTGACGGCCACCACTAACCCATTCAGCTGGTCTGTCGTGTAATGCACAGTCTGAAACTTCATTAACAAGCTGCTCTGGTGTGGTGTGGTGTAGTGTAGTATGGTGTGGTGTGGTGTAGTATGGTGTAGTGTAGTATGGTATGGTGTGGTGTAGTGTAGTGTGGTGTGGTGTAGTAGACATTTTTTTTCTAATTTGTAAGTCTAATAATTTTTATAAACTGTTGGTTGGCATCAAGATCGTGAAAATAAAATAATACAATGTCATTTTAAAATTGGTCAGAGAGGATGATGTTAAATTAGAATGTATTAACTGTGACGGCACCATAACACAGGTGAATATAACACTGCCAGGTCGTTAATTACTTTGACAGTGATTGGACTGAGGCGTTAGGGTCGTTCGTACACTGATCCAACATTGCACAGATAACCTGGCGACTTATCGAACTTGTTAACACTACTGTATTTTGTATATATTCACATGAGGGGTTATGATTATGTCTCAAATACCTGATATATTATTTCATAGTGAAGGAATTGTTTGTTTAAAATATGAAACGCAAATTCAGGAGACACAACAGTTAAGACAGCAGGGAGAAGGTTCATTTGTCGCGTGAATAAGAAACAGTATTATTAAATGATACTAACATCACAATATCAGGCTCCAACCTTCCAATGACTGACATTCTATCCACACAGGTTGAGAATTAATTGTTATCAGGGCTGTATTTAGTTTGTGTTTTGTTTATCATAGTTACGAAAGATAAAAGAGCCAGGTTAGTAGTAATGGTTAGGGAAGATGTTGACGGTGTGTAGTGGCCTGTTTCACCTGGTGCCATGAGTCACAGAACGACTCACCAACTGTATAGTGTAAATTCTTCTTTTTTTTATACAGGGTACAGTGAATAATATACCTTTTAGAGTACAGTGAATAATATACCATTTATAGTAGAGTGAATAATATAGCTTTTAGAGCAGTAATTCAGAATCTAACTGTAGAATTTATTGTGATTTCGACACTGATCATGAAAACACTTAAATATAGGAAAAATGTTGAAAAAAAATTGAGGGTGAGGGAGGGGTGAAGGGGGTGAGGGAGGGGTGAGAGGGGTGAGGGAGAGGGTGAAAGGGAGAGCGGGGGTGATGGAAGGGATAATGAGGAGTGAGGAAGGGTGGTGTGTTGGGATAGGGAATCCACACCCTTCCCAGTGGCACCTTCCACCCTCCCCTCCCCTTCGGATGTCAACAGTCCTCCCAAGCTGATCCTGGTAAGCGTAAGATAATGCTAAGCGTTACACTACCGCCAAGATGTTGTCCTTAAAACTCAAGCTGAGGTAAGCTGGTGGTCGCCTTCCATCACTACGGACTGTGTTACTAATTGAAGCTTTAAGAGGTCACTCGCTCAGTGTGACCTTGACTCCCACACCCGGGCTCTGAGGTGTAGTCTTTATACTCACAGTGCTGGAGGTCTCTAACTATTCCAATTATGGTGTGGTGTGGTGTAGTGTGTGGTGTGGTGTGGTGTTTGGTGTGGTGTGGTGTAGTGTGTGGTGTGGTGGTGTTATGTGGTATGGTGTGGTGGTGTTAGGTATAGTGTGTTTTCTGTTATGTTATGCTGGGTAATGGTATGTTACTGATATTTCCTATAAGAACTCCGAATAATTACCTCCGTGTGTGTGTGTGTGTGTGTGTGTGTGTGTGTGTGTGTGTGTGTGTGTGTGTGTGTGTGTGTGTGTGTGTGTGTGTTTGTGGTCGTAGTTGACAGTAATACAATCATCATCTGCCTCGTGTTTACCTGTTTTATCATCAGTATTCTAACTGTGCTTGTGGGAGGTGACGGTGACGGGGTGATGGTGGCAAAACTATCAACCATCTTCACACACACACACACACACACACACACACACACACACACACACACACAGTAAACATTATTAATATTCGTCAAAGAAGAAGTTAACGGTGAGGAGTGTGTACATGTGGTGGAGGAGAGGATGGGTGAGGGTCTAACTCTTCTCTCTCCCTTCCCCCTCACCTCTCCATTCCCCCCTCACCTCTCCCTTCCCCCTCACCTCTCCCTCCCCCATCACTCCCCCCCTCACCTCATTCGTCAACCTGTCACAGAAGTTTGGATGAAAACTTTAAGCTACATCTCACCAACGTCAAGATGTGTCTCGCCTCGGTGATGTGCTGTAGCTGTGAGAGACGCGTTAGAGATCAGTCCTATGTAGGGAGACTTAGCCTTTGGGACTGTTATTTACTACAGGTGAGCTTTAGAGAGACTAGATTAAATACATTCTACTTTTAATAATGTAAGAATGATATTATTTTGTGTTAAATCAATATAAAATGCAAAACACATGAGCAGGGACTCACCCCTCTTGTGTTGTCGAAACGCTGTACGGTGATTGAGTTGAGGCGTTCCGTGCTGGGATATCACGGCGCTATAACTTAAATATCTCATTAATTATTTATATTCGTAAAGTATAAAGTCAATGTAAAGTGCTCCTCTTTGACATATATAAAATATCCTCGCCAAGACAGTCCCCAGAGCTCCTATGTTCTTAAGATCGAAAGGTTATAAACTGAGGTCACAGTAATGAAACACGCACCAACAGCGTAATGTTTCTAGTAAGGGAAAAATGTGAACGTGTGTTAAAGTCTGTCATCTGCTGAACCTGTGATAAAATCTCTCTCCGTAAAAAATCTTCAATAATACCAGTGTTAGCAGTGAACCTCTGATGAAGCCGACGTGAGAGGTGAAGTCTTTGTTGACTCAGCTCAAACCTGAACCCATATCAAAGCCACGATCAACAATGGACCCCTGCCAAAGCCACCTTCAGACCACAGACGTGATGTGAATAACAGACACCCAGACGTTGTTGCAGACGTACCAATAAATAGAATGACAGACAGACAGAGACAGACAAAACGATACAGACACAGACAAACAGGTTACGCGGGAAGATGGCGGAGATCTTCACCAAGAGGGATGTTCACTGATCGACTTGACCAAAATTACAGAATAAAGGCAAATAATAACAAGTTTCTTCGTTGTTTTCTGTGTCAATATTTATACCTGAAGGAACTCACTCAATACAGGACACACTCAGTACAGGACACACTCAGAACAGGACACACTCAGTACAGGACACACTCAGTACAGGACACAGTCAGTACAGGACACACTCAGTACAGGACACAGTCAGTACAGGACACACTCAGGACAGGGCACACTCAGTACAGGACACACTCAGAACAGGACACACTCAGTACAGGACACACTCAGTACAGGACACAGTCAGTACAGGACACACTCAGTACAGGACACAGTCAGTACAGGACACACTCAGGACAGGGCACGTCTGAAGGAGAGGCAGGAGAGACTAGTCATTTAAGAGAAACGCACTATCGCTTGGTCAGTGCTAGTCACCTCTAGTTAACATGAAAGACGTGAAACAACCACTACTATTACTACCACCATTACCACCACTACCACCACAACTACCACCATTACCACTACAACTACCACCACCGACGTCATCATTACCACAACCACTAACCACCACAACTACCACCATTACCGCCACTACTACCACCACAGAGACAAGTGTAGTGAAACATTCATGATCAGGTGAGGGATGGATGACCTCCCATGTACTTTCTTGAGGACTCACCTGACCTCTGTAGGTGCTCAGGTAACACATGTGCACCGCCATTGCTCAGGTAACACATGTACACCGTAATTTCTCAGGTAACACATGTGCACCGCCATTGCTCAGGTAACACATGTACACCGTAATTTCTCAGGTAACACATGTACACCGTAATTTCTCAGGTAACACATGTGCACCGCCATTGCTCAGGTAACACATGTGCACCGTTATGATCATGCATACACACACCTGATCATCTAAAATCCCAACCAGGAAATTTTAACAGACAATTGCATACATTTCTACAACAGTTACAGTAATGCCAACAGACAGGTACGCACAGAAGGAACTTGAAGTACAGAGTAATATAACAGAACCAGTTACAAAAAATATGTAAGGTGAATTTTGTTCCACATGACAGGGAAAATAGCGAGACTTGAATCCCTTGTTGACGACCATCTTTCCTCGAGGCTGCCTGCTGTCCCCGACCACACAGGGAGAGACAGACCGATAGATGAATATAAAGCCACACTGACAGACCGTAGACAGAATGCAGATAGACAGACTGACAGAAAACGGAAAAAAAACTGACACACACAAACTAGGGAGGGGAGGGGAGGGGATGGAAAGAGAGAGGAGAGGGGAGGAGGGAAAGAGGGAGGCGAGAAAGGAGAAGGAAGAAGGGGGACCTGGGCTGACCTTGCCGTGAACCACTGTTGTGTCCAAGTGGTCCGTTGCTCCAATGTTACTGGCTTCTCCCCTCCCTCCCCCCATCATCCTAACCCCACCACTGCCTCCCTCTCTCCTGTTGCCCACCCTCCCTCACAACCCCTTCCTCACCCCCTCCCTCACAACCCTCCCTCTCAACCCCTACCTCACAACCCTCCCTCACCCTTTCCTCATCCTTCCTATTATTCCTCTAGACCCTTTGTTCACAATTCTTCATAAATCCTTCCCTCACCCTCCCTCACAACCCCTTCCTCACCCCTCCCTCACAACCCCTTCCTCACCCCCTCCCTCCACAACCCCTTCTCCACAACCCCTCCCTCAAAGCCTTCTTCACCCTCCTTACAGCCCTTTCTCACCCTCCCTCACAACCCCTTCCTCACCCTCCCTTACAACCCCTTCCTCACCCTCCTTACAACCCCCTTCCTCACCCCTCCCTCCCACAGCCCTTCCTCATCCCTCCCTCACAACCCTTCCCTCACAGCCCCTTCCTCACCCCTCTCTTACAACCCTTTCCTCACCCTCCCTCACAACCCCTTCCTCACCCCTCCCTCCTGGCCTTCCTCACCCCTCCCTCACAACCCCTTCCTCACCCTCCCCTCACCCAACCCCTTCCCTCACCCCTCCCTCATAACCCTTCCTCCCCAACCTCTTCCTCACCCCTCCCTCAGCCCCTTCCTCACCCCTCCCTCCTGGCCCCTTCCTCACCCCTCCCTCATAGCCCCTTCCTCACCCCTCCCTCACATCCCCTTCCTCACCCCTCCCTCATAACCCCTTCCTCACCCCTCCCTCACATCCCCTTCCTCACCCCTCCCTCACAACCCCTTCCTCACCCATCCCTCACCCTCTCACTCCTTGTGGCAGCAACTGAGGCGTGACTGTACACTGTGTTGATAATTAAGAAAAATTAACTTCACGAGGCCCTCAGAGGCTTGTGGGCTGTAACCATTAACACCTGCTGTACTATTTACCTGTTTAATTGACTTAGTTTTGTTATAGACGAAGACTAATATCTTTTATGTGAACTAAATAACAACACAATATATAATAACCGATACAATACAAGACAATACCAGTACGTGATGTATTTTTAGTGAACTATTTTCGTAAATGATCCTGACTAAATTTTTTTATCCAAAGTTTTCTTGAAGAGAATCTTATTGATATTCCTTTCACTTATTTATGATATTAATATTTAAGTAAAAATCTACATATCTGATGCTTTGTTTTACTATATTTTACGAAGTGTTAGTAAAATATTTAACACCTCAGCTTTTGTTTATCATATTTAATGCATGAATCATATTACCATCTTATCTTTTATTTCAACCTTTGTAATCAATCTTTAAATAACTTGATATCTGTACATTACCTAACCTTTGTTATCACCTGAGTCACTAATTAGAGATGTGTGTGTTGACAGATATGGGCGAGTGTGGGTGTGTGGAGGGCGGCGGGGTGGTGACGATGGGCCCGGGGGAAGGGTGCCAGTGCCTGTGCCCGCCCACCAAGCCCACTTTCAGGGATAACTCCGCTACCTGAATCTCCACCCAAGACGGTAAGTGTTCTATTGTACGTCTTGCTTAACAAACACACACACACCCACACACACACACACACACACACACACACACACATAGTAATACCTTTAAACTTCTACCCCTACTTCAGGAGAATAGATACCATGTACCCGTTTACAGCCGGACCAACACGTTGAGTCTCCCACCATCGTCAGGTACAGATGGTTAATGTGACCTGAAGGTGGCAACAACAGCAGGAGCAGGAGGAGGAGGAGGAGCAGGAGGAGGAGGAGAAGCAGGAGGAGGAGGAGAAGCAGGAGGAGGAGGAGGAGGAGGAGGAGGAGGAGGAAGGAGGCAGTAGCAGCAGGAGGGAGGAGGAGCAGGAGGAGGAGGAGGAGGAGGAGCTTGGAGGAGGAGGGAGCAGGAGGAGGAGGAGGAGGAGGGAGGAGGAGGAGGAGCTGTGCCCAGCTGGAGGAGGAGGGTAGAGGAAGGAGGAGGAGGGAGGAGCAGGAGGAGGAGCAGGAGTAGGAGCAGGAGGAGGAGGAGCAGTAGCAACAGAGGAGGAGGAGGAAGCAGGAGGGAGGAGGAGAAGCAGGAGGAGGAGGAGGAGGAGGAGGAGGAGATCAGTATCACTCTAACACCTGGGGTCTCTCTCTCTCTCTCTCGCGACATTTCTTCTTCCCGATTTGTTCCCATACATGTCTCTTCTCTCTCCTTTTCCTCACCTTTTATCGTCTCTTCTCCATCTCCCACTGGCAATCAATCAAGGTTCACGTGACTCATGCCGAAGTAGACCTGGGCGTTATCTTCCCAGCTTTCATTATCCTCAAACAGCTTTCCGGCACCGAGGAGATTAATTACCGCCGCTGGTTAATTAGGCGAGGTCTAAACGGCATGCTAATGAGACCGCGGTTCTTAAAAGACGTAATTATAGGTTTCAACGAAACACAGATACAGGCTAGAGGGAGGTGATTATTTCCCCTATAATCTTGACTCTACCTACTGTATAATCTTCTCCATCTTATCACGCACGAGAGTTTAGTTTTAATTATCCACTAAATTTTTGTTTTGTTATTATTCATATCTGTATTTTCCGATTATTAAATTAGGTGTTAAATAGATAACATTGTTTTACCGGTGTCAGAGGCAAGGTGTTATCAGGAGTATATGTATAGGTAATTAAGGAGAGAGAGAGAATTAAAGTTCGACCTG